TGATAAAACTCTAATGTGTAAAGGACTAGAAAGGGCAGCTCGATCATGGTATTACAGTTTAGAACCAAGATCGAACATAACTTTCAAATAACTCCTCAACCATTCCTTCTTATTTAAGTTCGTCAGCAACCGACAAACTAAAAAAACTTCATTAAGCTTAATGTCAATCTACTAGGACCAAAATGAATTTATGAAAGAATACGTGATGCATTTTAATGTTAAAGCTTTTCAGGTTAAAGACTTAGAACATGTCATTATAGTTGCCATTTTGACTAGTGGATTAAGCGACATGAATACCACTTCAAATTTACCCTCTCCCTAGAGCCATTAAAGACTTTGGCTGGTGTTCTACTCATTGTCAAAAAGTACATCAACACTGAAGTTACAATGAAAAGCAACTGAGGTGAGAGAGGCATATTGCCCTTCTCGACTAGAGATAAGAAAAAAAAATATATGATCCTCTAAGAAGAAAAAGAATAATGGGATACCCTAGGGTTAGAAGCTCGATACAACGATATGATAACTACATTGCACTAACTAGAGAGAGAATTTTGATGCATATTGAAAATGACCTCAACTAGATGGCTAAAGCCACTGAGACAAACCATCAAAAGAGATCTTATCAAAATATGTGTTTTTATAAATATTACAGTAACAACACCAAATATGTATTGAACTGAAGAATAAAATTGAGAATTTGTTCAAAAGAGGTTGGTTGGGCGTATTTGTGGACTAAAAGAGATAAGGATAGGGGAAAATAGATTTCAAAAAAAGAGACAAAAAAGAAAGGATAGAAAAAAATCAAAAAAATAGAAGAAGAGAAAAAAATCGATGTGTGGTAATCAAAGAACTGAGCAGTAAGAAAATGAAAGGAATAATGTAGATAACATGCCTATTTTAAACATAATAAATGTGATCACATGGGGACAACAACGTCAACCAAAAAGACATTTGATCAGGGAACAGTGATGGCTAGTAAATTTTCAACCAAAACATAAAAAAAATAGAATGACAAGATAATATCTTTTACTTTGAAAGACTTGTAAGGGATCTAGTTCCTATATAATGATGTTGTTGTGATCTAAGCTATAGTTTACAACTATATGGTGAAGAGAGTTCTATTTGATAGTGGGAGTTCCACCGATATCTTATACTATGCCACAATGTTGAAGATAAGCATAACCGATGACATGTTGAAGCTATTTACCACCAGATTGACTTTGGGAATGAATAGGTGTTTGTCAAAAGAACTATGAGGTTGCCAATCTAATTGGGTACAGAGCCAAGGAATGTCACTTTGGTATTTGAATTCATAGTGGTAGATGTCTCCTCTACCTATAATATGATATTAGGTCGATCTAACCAATATGTTATGAGAAATATTAGTTCTTCATCTGAAGATCAAGTTGTTGATGCCTAACAGGGTTGGAGAGGTTAAAATGGTGAGACAATCTATGTGACTACAATGAAATGTAGGACTAGAAAGCAAATTGAAAGTTAATCCAAAGCTAAAAAGTTCCAAAACAATGACGAGTAGGGGTTAAGGTGAAAAATGTCAAAGTAAATGAAAACACCTAGGGTAAGAAGTAGAAAGAAATTGAAGAAAAAAAAAGTGCACTCCTAATAGCCGCACTAAGCTATTAAGCTCGATACTTGTTCATACTTTTAAAAGGAATTTTTTAAAAATTCATTGAAGTCGTAAATTGAAGTCAGCATACACATACATGTTAATTGAACCTACCTTTTAAACCGATCACATGAATATAAAATTATATTTTGATAATCTTATCTTTTTATAATGCATTATTCTACTAACAAGTTAACTAACATCCACGTCGGGATTTATCCTTGTAGGAAATGGTCCCAACCTAACTGAATTAAAGGAAATCATTAATAAAAGGCGTGAGATTGATATTAGCTAACCAGAACCATAGCAAACCTCATTCTTGTGCCGTTATGTGAAAATAATGTTGATAAATGCATGCAAATTGGGGTTAAACTTGAACAGAAAGAGCAAATAATTCAACTTCTAAAAAATAATGCCAACTTGTTTACATAGGCCTTATCCAACATGCCTAGGATAAATCTCATGATCATGGTCCACAAGCTACACATTGATTCAAACATGAAGTCAATTTAACAAAAGAAGAGGACATTTACCATAGAAAGGTAAAAAATAATTAAAGAAGAGGTCGATAAACTATTAAAAGCTAGTTTCATCATGGAAGCATACTACTTCGAATGGATTGTCAACGTTGTTATGGTGAAAAAACGTAATGGAAGATGAAAAATGTGTATAAACTTCATCGACCTTAATAAAGCTCACCAAATGATAGCTTTCCTCTACCTAGCATAAATCGATAGGTGGATGACAATGCCAAGCATAAAATGCTTAGCTTCATAGATGCTTATTAAAGTTACAATCAAATCAAGATGCTAAAGGAAGATGAGAAAAAAATCGTATTTGTGACCAAGAAAAGTTGTATTGTTACAAAGTGATGTCCTTTGGCTTGAAGAATATAGGGATAACCTACCAAAGGTTAGTCAATAAAGTATTCAAGGACTAGATTAGCCATAACATCAAAGTATACGTTGACGACATAATTGTCAAAAGTAAGAGTTTGATCATGCACCTGAAGGATCTAAATGAGACCTTCAATATGTTCAAAAAGTATAACATGAGGCTTAATCCGAGCAAATATTCTTTTGTTGCCACATCAGGCAAGTTCCTTAACTACACAATAAATCAAAGAGGGATAAAGCAAATCATGATAAGGTTCTAGCCATTTTAGACGTGAAAGCACTGACCTCAATGAAAAAAATATAAAAATTAATTAGAAAAATTACTGCTATGACTAGATTTATGTTAAGGTCGACTGATCGGTGCTTGTCATTTTTTAAAATTTTTAAAAATAACTCAAAATTAAATGGACACTTCAATGCCAAAAAGCACTTAAAGAGCTCAAATAATTTCTCTTATTTCATCGTATACTATCAAAACCAAAGCCTAAAAAAATATTATACTTCTACATAACAAATACGGACCAAGTAGTCAGCTCGATATTGGCTTTAAAAAAAAGGGCAATAAAGATTGGTATATTTTATGGGTAGAGTATTAACATGGTCTGAGATAAACTATTCCAGAATAAAAAAGTTGGCTTACATTGTTGTAATTTCGACTAGAAAGCTCAGGCCGTGTTTCTATTCCCACCTGGTGAATGTCCTAATCGATCAATCACTTAGGTAAATTTTACAAAAACCTGAGTTGTTAAAAAGGCTGATCAAGTGGACGGTAAAGCTTAATGACTACAATCTACACTTTTTACTTAGGTTAACACTAAAATCATAGGTACTAACTGATTTTATAATTGAATGCACCTCGATTGAAACCAACAAACAACCCAAAGAGGTCGATGAATAGAAGAGAAAAGAGACATGAAAACTTTTTATTGATGGATCGACTATAAACCAAAAAAGTGAGGTCGATCTAATTCTAATAAAACCACACTCGAGGCCTTCAAGAAAAGATTAGATAAAGTTAAAGGTAAATAGGCTGATGAGCTCTTTAGAGTATTGTGTGCTTTCAGAACAACTATAAAAGTCATCACTAAAGACCACTATAGAAACTCCTTTCAATCTGGCTTTTGAAATAGAGGCTATGGTAATTGTTGAGATCAACTTCCCTAATCTCGAAGTTGAGCTCGGGTTCAAAGAGAGAAATGAAGAAGCCCTAAGAGCCAATTTGGATTTGACCAAAGAGTAAAAGGACATTGTTTTGACAAGATTAGTAGCTTATCAACAAATGGTTGCCAATTTTTAAAATAAGAGGGATTGATGAAAAAGCATAAAAAAGGGTAACTTAGTGTTAAAGAAAGTGAAAGCCTCAGGAGTTGATAATCGAGGCGGAAAGTTGGCCCCGAATTGAATGGGCTCTTATATAATTAAAGAGGTCATCCAGGATGGGACCTATAGGCTATAAAATCTGAATGAAAATCCTATTCCAAGGATATGAAATTCAAATAATTTAAAATTTTATTAACAGTAAAGGCCTTTAGGCCAAGCTCACATTTTGTAATTTTGACGCTTATTTGTACTATCAAGTTTCGAGTTGAATAAAAGTTTAAAGCTCAAACTCCTTATATATCTACCTACTGTATCTTTAATTCGAAGTAATAAATTATTTAATGCCTAAAAAATTTAAAGTCTGAATTCAGACACATATCGATCTTAAATTTTAAGTTACATAATCAAAGGGTCTGAGTTGTTCTTTATATCAAATCCTAAAATCTTTTATCAAGATCAGATAAATTATTTAAAACCAATCTCAAACTTGGTCCATTTCTCGAAAGTCATTTGAAAGTTAATCAATATTTAAAAATTAAAAGTCTAAGCTGAGATTTGTTACCAAGCTGCTACTTTAATGAATTTGCCTGTTTGAAATATGAAGTTATTCCAATCTTTTATTTGTTTATGCCTTTCGAGCTAAGACTTGAAAAATTATTTACTATTATTCATATACTGATAAGAGGAACTACAAGGTAAGGAAAAAAAGATTTGAGCTGATAATTGGGTAAATTTTTCATTTGTATTAATGGATGTGGTATATACAAGATTTGAACAAAAAATTGTTATTTAATACAAGTTAAGTTAAAATCTTAATCATAGAAAACTATAAAAGGTCACATAAATGTAAAAAGAGAAGTAATTAAATTGACAATTTAAAAGGAAAGAAATATAATTAATTATTTAAATTTTTTAATTTAAATGAAATTAAATAAAAAAATTTAAATGCATGACACAATTATATTTTAAGATCGACTATATGTCAATTATATAGGATATTCAAGTTGAAAATTTTTTTTTTGACTTTTATATATTTATATAAGAGAAGATATCTTATCCATTTACCAACTATTGCTTAAATAATTGCACATTCTTTATATCTAAATCTGGTCTTTTAATGTGGCAATTATAATAGACGTATAAGAAAAAACTTTTGGTGGACCTAAGTAGGCTTTACCATAAAAGGATATATTTGTAGATATATAGGTACATTTATGTATAGAATCCAAGAGTTCAAGAGGGCATTAAACAGAAAGTTTCATGGTCCAATCTCCCGAAGAGTTAAATCAAACGAGTGCTCAAGCAAAGCCATATTTCGTGTGGGTTATGTACTGCGTGAATATGCCGATGACTGACACAGAGCTCTCTGACTCAGAATATATATATGGCTTGGCATTGGCATCTGTAAGAGACTCTAGCTCTTTGGATTTTCCAATGCCACTGCATTTATTTCTCCTCTTCGACCCCATTTTGACTTTTCTGTGTTTATTGGGAATCAGAAAAATACAAATTCAACAGAAAACAAAGTGGTGACAGCCGTTTCCAGTCTCTTTCTTAATTAATCTTACCCATTCCCTCTCTTTCACTCGCTTTTATAGAGAAGTTAGAAAGATTGAATTGTTTGAGAGCATGGCGGTAATGGGTACAGTGAAGAAATGGTTGGGCTGGTCACAGATGGCAGCGAGCATGTTGGCGGTGCAGCTCTTTGCAACAGGGCAGCAGCTGCTTTCTAAAGTCATACTGAGTCAAGGAACCTTTATCTTTGCACTCATGACCTACCGACATTTGGTTGCTGCTCTTTGTGTTGCTCCTTTTGCTTTCTTCCTGGAAAGGTTTTTCTCTTCCATTTTCCTTTTTCTTTTTTTGTTTTTTTCACATTTTCTTTTCATATATATGTAGAACTATATGTTTGTAATCATAGATGTGATGGTTGCGCCTGTTTGTGCCATGGCTGCAGAGGTAATGCAAAGAAGCTGGCCTGGTCGACTTGGTTCTGGCTCTTCATCAATGCCTTGACAGGGTAAGCCACTTTATTCCCTCTTGGGCTTTGGTAATTACCAAACGTTGTGTGTTTGGCTCTAAGCGTTTCGTATATCATGGAAACTTAATATTTTGCACGTTTCGTTGATTAAAAAGCAAACATCAAAAGCTTCACGATGGCATAATTTAAGATGATATAAAAGTGCTCTTTTCATCATTCAAAATGACTTGTACAACTGGATAAACTTGTTATTTTCCCTTCAACCCTTCAAATCATCTGTTTTTAAGCGCAAAGACCTAGGCTTTTCTTAAATATTTAGGAACTGTAGAATACCTAGATAATAAAATTTTTTACCTGTAGAGCTCTATATATATATTAACCAACTTCAAAAACAAAAATTTATTTTTTTATCGAATTATAAAAAATTGAATTATAATCACTAAAATTAAAAATTTAACATTCACATATTACACTATTATATTTTATATAAAAAACCTCAAAAATAAAAATTTGTTAGATTTTATAAAAGATAACTTATCAAATACATTAATAATAAAATTTTTAGATTTCACAAATATAATTAACATGATGATACCTACTCTTTAGAGTATATTAAAAAATTATGTGTTAATTTTTTTTTTAATTTTGCTTATAAAATTAAAAAACACCAAATAGCATATCAAATAATTTTCTCCACAACATCACTCATATCTATGTATAAAGGTTGTTGGCAGATCACAATCAAGCTTATATATTAGGGCTTTTTCAAAAAGCATAAACAAACACATTCCCCTTTTTTTTTTTTCCTTTAACAAAGTCATAAAGATAATAAGCATACTTATCTGAATCATACGCATGAACATCGTTCTTCTTCAATGCAAATTAATTAGAGATAGCTATTTGATTAAGCATAATTTAGCTAATTCATTGATTATCAGCTGATTCTTTTTGTGACCAATTAAATGATGATTACAAAGAAGCAAGGACAATGGTTTTAAATTGGTTCGATGGGAGTTTTTCTTTTTTTTTTTGGCAATCATCTACCTGTCAATTTTTTTCACTTTTTTTTAGAAATAATCTTGATCGTTGATTTTTTTTGAGGGGCAATAATGTTGATCGTTGATTAAGACGCATTTGATAACACAGGGACAAGGACAAGGGTTGATTGCTTTTCTTTTTTTCTGATTGCTTTCAAGTAGTTTTATTGTTTTTGGTTTCTTCTGCCTGTCTAATGATGTGAGCCACGAGGAGCGTAGTTTCCCCATTATTTGCCGAAAGATAAAAGAAGCCTAAAGGCATGCAGATCATTAAAAAAATATCTCAACACCTTTTTATACTTAATATTACGTGATTGAATTTGATTATTAAAATTAAAAATTCCTTTAATAATTAAAATTTAAATTTCAATGCTTTTTTGATAAAGCACAAGTCTGTCTCAACAAAAATTTCTTTCAAAATTGAATTTAAGCGATATAAATAATGAGCAAAAAGTATTGTATAGTTGTCTAAAGGTTTGAACTTCTTCCATTTTTTTGAGCCAATCAAAACGAGTTCAAGTCCAGCACAACTTCTGCCAGATTCAATAAACTTAGGCTTTCATTGAGAGGATAACACTTACATGAATTTTTTGAGACGAAATTTATAAATTTTTTAAAAATAAATAAATAAAAAATTTTAAATTGATAAATCATATATAAAAATATTTAAAATATTATTTATAATTTAAATTTATACTTAATAATAAAAGTTTTATCAATATTTTATTATTATTACAGTTTCATTCATATGAAAAATAATATTTTTTACAATTTATTTTTTTCACATATTTGCTAACATTTTTTTATATTTTGTATAATAATTTTGTCGAGATTACTGAAGTAAAAATGTGTTAATACTTCTTTTATTATTTAATTTATCATTCAATAATATATATTTTTATTTTTTTAGAAAAGACATACTTTATTTTTATTTGATGTAATTTTACAAGTGTATAAATATTATTATAAACAAAAATATCCAAAGGAAAGATACATTTTTTTTTTTTTTGCTGTTTTCAAATGGTTTATATTTTAATGACAAGTCAATATATATAAAATTTATATATGTTATAAATTTTAAAATTTTAATATAATTTTGAAAAGAAACTAATATATATATATTTATATTAAATAAATAAAATTATTTTGTGCAAGGTTATAATCTAGTTTAATCTATACAATATGACCTTTTAATCTATCATTTTGATTTTTAATTTTAACTTTTATTAAATCATTTTTAGTAAAAAATTTCACGACTCTCATTAAAATATTTCTTTTAAATCTTTTCCCAATTCAGAATTGAGAATTACATTTTCATGAGATCATTTCTATTTTCAAGAGCACTGGATCTTTGACTACCTAATAATTAAAGTTGCTAATTTTAAAATCATTAATTATTTAATTTTCTAATCGTTGATATAACCTTATGATCAAGCAGGATAACAATGGCCATGGGACTATTTTATTATGGTCTTCGAGACACAACAGCTACGTATTCCACCAACTTCCTCAACATAATTCCGATAGTCACCTTTGTTTTCTCCATCGTTTTCCGGTAAATTAATACATTTGATGGTTGCTATTGCAAAATCCAGAAAGAAGGCCTAATAATTAAGGAATTGTGTGAAACGTGAAAATGTTTTTGTTATGTGTATTGTAGAATGGAAAAGCTGGGACTAGGCAGCAGAGCAGGTAAAATTAAGACTGTGGGTGCAATTTTGTGCGTGGGAGGAGCGCTGACAACTAGCCTGTATAAGGGAAAAGCATTCTATCTTTCTCATGATCACCATATTCACACACCTGCTGCCACGGACGTATCCGAGACTCACTGGACTCGCGGAACTTTCATGCTTGTAGGCAGTTGCTTGTGCTATGCCACTTGGTATATATTGCAGGTGTGAATTAAAATGATAAACTAATTAACCTCTCTTGATGTTACAATGTCAGTCGACTCAGTTCATAAGTTTTTCTACTTTCAAAACAGGTCAAATTGCTCAAAGTATTCCCTTCAAAATACCGGGCAACGCTGATAACATGCATCATGGCGTCCATACAATCAGCAGCAATCGGCCTATGCTTAGACAGGCACAAGTCTGCATGGAGATTACAGTGGAACTTGCAGCTGGTTACTATAGTTTACTCGGTAAAGTTTCTGATCCATTTCTTCATTTAAATTTTTTATGCTCAATTTATTTTTCCGGAACAGCAAGGTTTGAATAAGCTGCGAATTCCGCAGGGAGCACTAAGTACCGCAGCAACATTCTGCATACTTACATGGTCTATTGCTAAACGAGGCCCAACTTATGCTCCAATGTTCAATCCTCTGGCCCTAATTTTTGTTGCCATATCAGAAGCTTTAGTACTTGGTGAACAAATGAGACTCGGAATGTATGATCTGTTTCCTTTCTACTAATTTACCAGAGATGCAAATATACAATCCTTTACCATGCATACATCGTTTTTCAATATTTCAATACTAAATTTTACGTTCTCTTACATTACTACAAATGGGTTCATGATTTCAGTGTGGTTGGCACGGTTATGATAATAGGCGGCTTGTACTCGTTTTTGTGGGGAAGAAAGAAGGAAATAAAATGCTTGCCTCAGCCAAATGCGGGTATTGAAGAATTGGCAAAAGCGGTTCCTGAATCTGGAGGGATGCAGTTGAAGACCTTGGTTGTAATGCCAACTACTACTTCACCTGTTAAAAGCGTTTATGCTATGGAAGAAGGAACTCTAAAAGATTCTGTAAACTCCTGAATTAATTACGAACCCATTTTCCTGAGGTTCTATACTCGAAAACATAACCCACCTTCCTGAGAAACTAGCTAGGCTCTTGATTTTAGAAATTTGACGAATAAATTCAAGGGTACTGTTTTAAATAAAGTATATTGTATTCTCTAGTTATTTCCTTTTCGTTTCTTCTTATTTCTTTCCAAATTCATCTTTAACAATTAGAGAGGAACAAGAAGGAGGAGTTGATGCATTTCACAAAACAAATAGTATTGTTATATAGTAGTAATTCACAATTACAATGACAAGCGTCAGGTTTTGTGTAACTTTTTCTGTGCCCCTTTTGGCATCAATTAAGCAGGAGAAAGTCCAACTGTCATAGGACAAGAAAAAGAGGGATTCATAGCATGTCAAAAGAGAAGGGGCAAAAAGGGATTCATATTTTATACTACAACTTAAAGCTAGAAAATTTTATTTGTTTTCTTCTGTTTGCATAAGGCCTTTAAAATGGAGCAGGGACCAAGAAGACAGGCAGAGAACCTGTCGGATGGCAGAAAATTGATGTATTCAAGAGAAGTTAGCGATGATGAAGGATTAATTAACCAGGACCTAGTTATCATTTTAGTTTTCAAAATGCTTCAGCACAATTTCTTGGTTAAAATATAACAGAAAGCTCGGGATTTGAAGCAAATATTTTCCAGTTTCAATATGATTTTACAAGCCAATTGCCAATGCCATACTTCTAACAAAAAATATATTACATATAATTATAAACAGTAGTAGAAACTAATAAGAATGAAAATTAAGAACAAAGCAAACTCAGAAAAGCATTTACAATAACCTGATAAACCTCTGGTGAGTTGAGAGCAATGTAACAGTAAACCAACTCTTCCATTGCATTCCAATCATGTATACCTGCATCATCAATCATTTCTAATATGGACTCTTAGACATCAGAAAATGGGTCATTGCCTCATTGGACAACTTAACTGCACATATACTACCAGCAAAAACAATGCTAAAATCACCAGGCAAGGTGGCTGAAAAGCAAATTCTCTCATGCCGCTTTCGGCTTTTGCATGTTCTTCTTCCTTTCCTATCTTGTTTGATTCCTCAACACCGTCTATGGACTCTTGGACATCAGAAAATGGGTCATTGCCTCATTGGACAACTTAACTGCACATATACTACCAGCAAAAACAATGCTAAAATCACCAGGCAAGGTGGCTGAAAAGCAAATTCTCTCATGCCGCTTTCGGCTTTTGCATGTTCTTCTTCCTTTCCTATCTTGTTTGATTCCTCAACACCGTCTATGGCTCCTGCAATGCAGCGCATGCCAGCTCACTAAAGATAAATTCTATCGTTAGGCAATTGCATGCTTAATGGCAATTGCATGCTTAAAGGGTTATCAAGAGGCGCTGGCAGCGGGGGACAGGGGCGCTGTGGTTAGGATTTGTCTCGTTGTGGTCATGAATCCAATCGGACGAGGGAAGTGCTGTAATGTCAAATCAGTTACAAAGGCATGTTACAAAGGTATATGACGCCATGAATGCAATCCTGCATTTTGTTAATTAATGTTAGGAAGCCGGTTCCTAATTAATGTTCATGTGAGGTGGTTGAGATTCATGAGCCAAATCAGATTGGAGTCAGGTCTATATTTGATATTAATAATTTATATGTTTGTTCAAATATGATCAATAATTTAAATTTCAAAATTTTTTCAAATATTAAAAAAATAAATTTAAAATCCATCATTAAATCGAATTTATATAATAAAAAATTTAAAAATCTTTTGTTAAATAAAATATAAAAATAAAAATTCACATATATATTTATATAATTATAATATTTTAATTATATATATTTTAGGTTGGACATTTTTCTATTGAGCTCGAATTTTAATTTTTTTTATCCAAAATCTAATTCCAAACTTAAATAAGTTTAAAAATTATTTCAAAATCTATTTAATAAGTTTTAATTTTTTGACTATACCTTATCAAAATTTGAACTAACATTCAAATACTATTGTACCATATAGAATGGTACAAAATGGATCAAAGATATCATTCAAAAAGTACTAAAATCTTCTCTCTATCGAGTTGACGAGGAAAACTACTAGTCTTTGGAGAATTGGGAGGTGTTGCATGTGTTAGATCAATTAAGAGTTGATAACTGGGATCTGGTTTTGGATAATTTTGGTTACACCAAGCTTTTACATATGAGGTGATCAAATTATCGGGTTATTGGATATTGATGAGGTTTTTATTATACAATTTGAGCCCAATTCAAACTTGAGTTGAAGATCTTGTTTTATAAAAACATAATATGTTTTATTTAATTTTAATTTTAAATATATTTTTATTATTTAAATAACAAATTATATGAGTGGATGGGTAGGCCAAGCTCATGTTCAAGTTTATAAAAACTAAAAAAAAAAAAGAACAATTTGATTAGGTTGACTTAAATCTGACTTAATCCATAAACATTTTTAGATGTTATGATCCAAATTCGAGTGATTACTAATTAGATGGTCTTGGTCTTGACTTTTTTGTTTTAATACATAAGATGGACAAAACTTATAAAAAAAAAAAAGAAATTTTAGTTCGAAATCAATATCTTTATATTTTTGTAAGAGTTTCTTAATCAATAATAAAAAAGTTGAGGATCAATTTTGATATTTTTGTTGAGAATAATGACTTAAATTTTATAAAAAATTTATTTGAGATTAGTTAAATATTACTTGATAGATAAAAATTCTTATAGAAAAAAAATTTTAAGAGAAAAATGATTCTTGATAGGCTAATTTGTATACTTATAAATAAGTGAAATATTTAAAAGTTAGGTATGAAAAAAAAATATAAAAGAGTTGTAAGGTTTTATGAGTAGATATCCCATAAGACTATAAGATACTTATATTTTTGAGTATATATGTTTGAATGTTTGTAAGTGAACTATAGGAGAATAAAAATGTCTACATAGGCATGGTGCATGAGTGTACATGAGTATATGTTTATTTGGGTTGAGAATATTTCATAGGACTAAATGAGAGTATGTATGGGTATTGATGTGGTTGATATAATTATATGTTTGTAATTTCTTATAACTAATAGATCTTTTTTTTTATCCGTAGACGTAGGTCAGTTAAATCAAATCATATTAAATTACTGTCTCTTGTGTGATTGATTAATTATTTAATTATATTTTTGCTGACATGAATATTTAATTGAATTAGGGTTATTTAGCCTAACAAGTGAAATTAAAGTTGTTGTGATCCCAACAAGTGGTATCAAATTCAAGATATGAGAAGAGACAAACCTAGAGTAACTACTCGATTCAATGAAAGAATTTGAGTTTGTGTTTTGGAAATTAATTTGCATAAAGCTTGAAAACACACAAAAGAGGGTGATTTTGATACTTTCATTACAAGTAGAGCCAAGAATATCTAGTATGAATATTGATAATTGATAGAATTTGGGCTAAGATGAAGATTGTTAGGAATAATGACTTAAATCAAATAATAGATTTATTTGAGATTTGTTAGATATTATTTAATGAATAATAAGACTTGTAGAAGAAAAATTATAAGAGAAAATAGATTTTAATAGGTAAATTTGTATACTTATAAATAGGTAAAATCTTTACAGGATTAGATATGAAAAAAAAATGTAAAAGAATTATAGGATTTTATAGGTAAACACCACATAAGAATACTGAAGATTTATATTTTATAGGTGTGTATATTTGAATGTTTGTAAGTATATAAAAAAAAACTGAAAGGGTTCATATAAGCATGGTGCATGGGTGCATATTGTTATATAGTTATTTGTTTTGAGAATATTGTATAAGATTAGAAGAGATTGTGAGTGTCTATGATTATTGATGTGGTTGATATGATTGTATGTTACTAATAGATTTTTTTTTTTATTGATAGACTTAGATTGGTTGGGTTAATCTCGTTAAATTAATATCTCTTATGTGATTGATTGTTTGATTATATTTTCATTAATGTGAATATTCAATCGAATTGAGACTATTTAGTCTAATAATTTTAACTCAATTAATTTTTAACTTGAAGTTGCTTCTTCGAGTATGCGTCTTAGGGGTTTTTTCTTCTTTTTTTTTTTCATAAACGTAATCTTTAAGTAGTGGCAGGCGTCAAAGTTGCATTTTGGTGCACTGTCGTTGCCAACTTCAAGTGCAAGTATTACGTGCATTTTGGTTTTTGGTTTAATTATTCCGTGGGTTCATGGTTCAAAGCAGTGGAGAACGGAGCACGTCTCTTTTGCCTCGTCTTCCCAAATAAATGCTCCTTTTCCTTTTCTCAATTCCTCAAATTCCCTATCGATCCTCCATCTTTTTCTTTCTATTTTTTATCAACTACGCGCACTCTATTACAAGCACAAGATTCCACTCGATATTTTCGCGAATTGCGAGGGTATGATCAAGCTCAATTGCTGCTCTCAATATTTTTGAACCCGGAATGTTCCATTATACAAACTTGAGAAAAAAAAAAAAAAAAAGAAGATTATCATGCATGAATAATATATATATATATATATATATATATATTCTGAAATGGATTCGATGAAAATCTATTACCACAAAATTATGAATGAAAGAATTTACGTAGACGGAGAGTTTTGTCTCCTGATTGATTAGTAATCAAACAATCTAAAGGAAAGAAAAAATAATGGATGTGAAAAAGTGAAATAACTAATGAAAATATCTACTAATATCCACCATAACTTTCGGCAGAAAAAAAAAAGAATAAATTCTGTGGGGACCTGATTCCTGAACGCCGCATTATACTTGAGTATAACCATCAACCAGGACCCAAACCAAACTACTATGATTTGATTTTGTTTTGTAATGTCCCCCTCCCTATTTTTTCAACAATGAATGAAACAAAAATTCCCAAAGACGTTTTATTTTTTTAATTGAATGAAGTAAATGATAAGTTTCAAGTAAGAAATTGTCATTTATACTTATCATGTTTCATTGTTACATAAATGACAATTTATGAGAATAATTTATAAGAAATTGTCATTTATACTCTAAAGGAAAAAAAAATAAAAATATATATATATATATATTAAAATTTTGAAATTGAAAATTGAATTTTGAGATTTTATCATAGCTCATTTTATATTTCTAAAGATTTTTTTTATTGAAAGATTGAATCACTAAAGATTTTTTCCTCCAAGATATTTTGTTTTGGATGCATTATCAACGTGATTTAGAACAAGAGATTCCAAAAATGGGATAATAATAATAAAATTTATATTTGATGTATTAATAATGTATAAATTTTATATTATATTATATTCTATTATTATTATGAATAATAATAATATAATTTATATTTAATGTATTAATAATATATAACTTTTATATTATTATTATTATTATTATTATTATTATTATTATTATGAAAAAACGTTAGGAAATGACTTAAAACATGTACACGATACTTATCAATATATATTAAAAAAATAAAAATTTATATATTATGTTAACGTAATATAATGTAATTATATAATTAAATATAATATTAGAGATTATAATAATATAATTGAAATAATATTTAAGATTATGATACAATTGTGATATCATACATTCTTTTCTTAATTAGTGGGATTTTTTTGTAAATAAATAAGACACCTTTACATAATATTTTTTCAAATTATTGAATAACATATATTTTATATATTAAAAATAAAAGAGGATGAATCAACTTACCTTTTTTTTTTTAATTTTATACATTTTTAATTATTAATTTCAATCATTTTAAAGGGTAAAATTAATTTTTTTTTTATTTTTACTTATTTCTCTCGTCTCTTAGATATATTAAAATAAAAGGTTAAAAATATATGCAAAAACTATTTGTAGTTTTATATTATATAAATTGATTTTTTTTAAAAAAAATAGAATATTTATCGATAATATTTTTAAAATTATAAATATTATAAAAATTATAATTCTAATTAACTATTACTTTTATATAATAATAACGGGCACCATTTTCAAAACTAATAGTAGTAGAAAATGGAATATGGAATAACATTAGCACTATTTCAATACAATAAGACAATGGTGCCAAGGATACAAATACAAGGAGAGGAGTGAGGAGTCATATGAAGTACAAACCAAGGATAGCAACAAAAACAAGGTAAAATATGAGGTTGCGCGTTTTTTCACTTGAAAGCAGAACAAGGAAAGGCGGTTGTCGTGGTGGTGCTGCCATTTTCGGGGTGGCTTTGGTTTCCTAAGGGGAAGGGGCACCGCCGCAACCGCCTTTTTTTTTTCTTATATTTTCGAAAAACATTCCTGAAAATCGACTGTCACGTCCGCTTAACCTTCAAAATTTTGAATTTGCGAAAGGACTCTGTTTTCTTTATTACAGTATATTTTTGTTTGGTTTGTTGTAAAAATCGAAAATGAGAAAAGATAGGAGACTAAAGATGAAGACAAGGGTATCGAGGATTGGAAGCTATGCGATTGCATCTTCCATGAGGGATCATCCTCACCAACCCTGCATTACCTGCACCACTTTTAACATCCTCGCCCCCATTTACAAACGCCTTTCTCATAAGGTTTCTTTCTTTTCCTCTGTTTTTTGTCCAGTTTTTCATTGTATTCTACTGCCTTTTTTCAACTTCTGTTTTGTTTTGCATTTGTGATTGGATTCAGGACCAGAACTGCCGTGAAAGCGATTACAGGGCATATTGGTTGGCCAGGAATGATCGGATATTGGATTCTTTGTTACACGAGAGATCTTCCATTATTTGTCTACAGGTATCCAATAACTTTCATACCATTTCATTTCATTATTATTATTATTATGAATATGCCGTTGAAATTGTGCCTACTTATTGGCTGCTGCAGATATCATGTTTCACTATATCTAGTTCTCTTTCTTGAGTTTGTTTTTTTCATTGTTCACCAGCATTTCATTTTCTGTTTCGGTCGTTCTGTCTTTGAGCTTAACTGTTTTGCTTCTTCTAGTGTGATTATCTTCGAAGGTTTTGAGCATGTAGTCTAGTGATTCTAGCTTATGCAAACACCCTTTTCTTTTTCATATTTCTAATTCCTTTTGCTGTAGGAATTCTGGGTTGGGAATGAAGAGCTTGTAAATATGTATGAGAAGAGGCTGGGTGATGCTGGTTATCTTAATTTCAAGCTTGGACGTACCAACAACCGTGGTGATGGTCAGTTTAACTCCTCTATCCTTTTTTTTTTTAATTTTAATTGAATTTATGTAAAATTTCAATAGGCACTTTACGCAGCCGCCCCGCTCACTGTATATCTAGATGGTCATAACCAAGTCACCAACCGCATTGGCCTTGATTAGGACGGCGACAATCATTTCTTTTCCCACCTAACATATTGATCTGGGGGATGTATGCAAGGAAATATAGAAGGTGATACTTTAGAGAATGAAAAGTGGGTTTGAGGGTAGGGAAACAAATTAAGAAAATAAATGTGACCACTTCAAAATCCAATTAAATAAATAGAAACTGATGACAAGATCCTTGGTAGTATCATAGGAAGACCATGCTTTCTTCCTCGAATGATGTTGACACAGTTTTTTTCCCAACCAAAGAGAAAACGAAAAAAAAAAAAGGATTTTTTTTTTCAAGTTGAGAACTAACAAGTCTCATGAATGGGGATTTGGGTAGGCTTGTAAGTGTTTGCTTTTTCTTTTCTTGAAATGGTCATTTAACTCTTTATAGACTTTTGGAATTCCATAGTATTATGTTGACTATTATAGCCGGCATTGTTCATTTGTTCTAGTGACGCACAAAATAGGAAGCAGTGGGGCCCGGTCTTGCATTTTGGAAGAAATTATCAAATGATTACTTTTAGATTAAGCAATGAAGTTGCCCATTTTTTCCATTTCTAATTCTGTTGATTCCTTCTAACTTAACTTTGTTTCTGCTGTTGTGGCCCAAAAAAAAAAAAAAAAACCGTGTTTCTGTTGGAGATAACAGGTCTGTTGACTGCCGTGCATAAGGACTATTTTAGAGTTATTAAGTATAGGGAATTGCTATTCAATGATTGTGGAGACCGGGTTGCGCAGTTGCTACATGTTGAGTTGGCAACCCCTGCTTCACTATATCGAAACAATGATACTTGCCAAGAAATTCTCATTGTAAACACCCATTTGCTTTTTCCTCACGATTCAAGTTTGTGCATAGTACGATTGCATCAGGTAAAAACATCCTTCCTTTCATATCTAAACAGAAATTGTTCACTAAGTTCTTTCTTACTTCTTTTGATCCATTTTATATAATTGTTTTAGCAGGTCTATAAAATCTTGCAATATGTGGAATCTTATCAGAAGGAGTACAAGCTTAGTCCTTTACCAATTATGCTTTGCGGGTGAAAATATAATTCATTTCTTTTAGTTTGGACCAAGCACTGATGTCTTACCCTTATAGAACAATACTAACTTGTTTTCTTTTCTTGCTAATTTCCTACAGTGACTGGAACGGGAGCAAACGTGGGCACGTGTACAAGTTCCTTAGGTCCCAGGGCTTTGTATCATCATATGATACTGCTCATCAGTACACCGATGCAGATGCACATAAGGTGAATATCATTAGTCAAAGCTTATACATATCAAGTAATTTTCTCACATCTTCTGAATTTTAAAAACAGTGGGTTAGCCACCTCAATCATCGGGGAAATGTATGTGGTGTGGATTTTATTTGGCTTCTCAATCCCAATAGATATCGGAAACTGCTGAAAACAAGTTGGAGTGAAGCAGTATTTGGCATGTTCAAGGTCAGAAGCTTAACAATTAACATTGTTGTTCTATCTACATCTCCATCGTCCATCCCCTCAGTTGTTGACCTTTACTTTCTTTGCCCTGTCTAATATTGTCAAATTTGATTTCTTCTCAATATTCCTCATTATGCGATTAGAGTTTCACTGAATTAATAATTGCTTACCTGGTTGTTTGCTTTAAGCTGAGTACGAGAAAATCAGCCAGATATCTGTGCCTTGTTTCCTGTTTCCACGAATCCAAGAGCAAATGTGGACCTAGCCAAGAAAATATAGTTCTGTAAAATTTTTATCTGACAGTGGCAAATTCTATTACAGAATCAACTAAAGAAAGCTTCGCTGACAGAAGATGATGCATTTGCTTTTCTTAAGGCTGACAATGATGGTGATTACATTACCTACTTAGGTTTTTGCGAAGCTCTTCGACAGGTATAGAACTTTCCTGATATTGGGATCTGAAACTCATTTCTTTCCTTTTTTTATTACCTTATTGCTTAGTAGAAGAATACAAATAGTGCAATGTTCTTTCTACAGCTTAATATAACTGGTCATTGCCATGGACTCAGCGTTGAAGAGACAAAAGACTTGTGGGTTCAAGCAGACATTGATGGAAACGGTGTTGTTGACCGTGAAGAATTTCAGGTAACCCTTATGGAACTGTCTTAGATGTTGGCTCTTATTTGAGGTTTTTAGCATTATGCGGTATGCCGGTGGTCCAGGGTATTTGATCTTCAGAGTCTGTCCAATGAACCAAACTTATTGCTTATATGTATGTCTCTGAGTCTCGCTAATCATATTCTGAATTCAGAGAGGTCTGCACAATGTACCCACCCAGTATTAGGAACAAACAGTCAAACACTGCTAGAAAGTAATTTAACTTACATTACCGTCAATTCCATTAGGCAGATTTATAATGTATAATGCTAATGCTGTGGAATAATGGACTTTGCAGCAGCGAATCTGGAAAGGTACGTGGTCAGAGCAAAGAGATGAACACAGCAATGAAGGCCGAGATGGGGCCGCTGCGGAATATCGTCAGGAGCAAGCTGTTGGTTTTAGTGTGAAGAACGCAGTCCTATTCCCTTCGGAAGTGGAAAAAGGAATGTGGCCTGAAAATTATTCTCTTTCCGATCACGCGAGACTTACGGTGGTGTTCTCACCAGTAGAAATGCCAATATGCCATTTTCCCAGTTAACAACTTGACAAACTTGGGGTGCAACGAGACATATATGGGAATTTTGTATAGGCACAGAAATGAAAAAAGACTAATGAAGAAAGTTCAGGGGCGCGGGCAGTTTGTGCTGTTCATACCAAGATAGCCATCGGAGTGTTTCAGAGAGAACTTGAAATTTTTCGTGTGCAAGCACCGTCCATGCTTCCTGCAATACTTTTGATCATGCTCAAGAACACCAGCTCTCTCACATATCATGTAAGGGACTCCACTGCCGACCGTCTCCTACAACATGAAATTTAACGGCTGCCCCATAAAGGGGTCATTCTGTTGGCCATTGGCAGATGGACTAGCTCTCCTCTACTTGTGTTTGCTTATTAAACAAGGAAATGGAAAAGAGAAAGTAGTGAAAGTTTGCATGTAAATATTCATTACAGGTAGGCAGGTTACAGGTAGCTATCACGCTTTTGTAGCATGGTGAGTTCAGTGCAACACTTTAGGGCTTCTTGTATATAGAATGTTACCAAGATGGATGTAATACAATTACACAACTATTTTGTAGCACTTTTCACTATGCCATGAATAATAGAGCACTAACAATTGAAAATTCTGCAGTTATGTTCCACGGAGATGGACTTTTCCAACATTATGGTTGATTTCCTGTATTTTTGCACATTGAAGAGTTCTGTTTCCAAAATCCGGACCGATGGACAGATGCAAGAATTTTACATGGGGACAACGGAAATTAATGTCTGAAAATCTCATATTTTGCAATAAAATGTATGAAAGTACGTAATAGCTAAAAAATTAATCTTTTATAAATTCAGTACATAAAATCGAGAGAAAAATGATTGTGTTCAAAATTTTCAATAATTTTTTCTTGAGAAACATCTATTAAGTTTTTTTTTCTCACACAGGTTGATAAAAATTATAAAATAATATCAAAATAATAGTCGCTGGTTTACTCAATCTCCACTTGGTTTCGGAGAATCCACCCTTAAATTTTCAGCAAAATTACTCCCTTGGACACTGTACAAACAACGAAGGGAGGAAAAGGGAATCTCGGGGTTTGAAGAATGGGCATAATGGTAAAAACACAGCTTAGCTGAGACTTCCTAGCGGAATATACGAGTTGAAACGCGGGTAACTGTAGTGATACTGAAATTTAAAAATAAATTATGAAGGCTTTCATATACTATGGAAGCTATAGGCCATTTTCCTCTCCTTTTAGACTCTTAACCAATCTCTTCCAAATACTTTAATACCCCTTTGATTCTTCTCTCACTCACTCCATCTTCCTTTTCTTTTAATTTTTTAGGGTTTTCTTTTCTTTTTCTTTTTGTTTTCTAAAAATTTACCTAAGAATCTCTCCTTTTTGTTTGGTTAACAACGTTTTAGCATGGCTGTTCTGTCACTGAATTCAGTACCCATCGGATTCCGATTCCGACCAACGGACGAGGAATTGATCGATTTTTACTTACGGTCTAAGATAAACGGGAACAGGGACGATGAGCTTGGAGTTATACGTGAAATCGATGTTTGTAAATGTGAGCCCTGGGATTTGCCTCATTTGTCCGCTATAAGGACTCGTGACCCAGAGTGGTTTTTCTTCTGCCCACTCGACCGGAAGTACCCTAAAGGCAACAGACTCAACAGGGCTACCGAGGCTGGTTACTGGAAGGCTACGGGTAAGGATCGCAAGATTAAGTCTGGGTCCAGCTTGATCGGCATGAAGAAAACCCTGGTGTTTTACTCCGGCCGGGCTCCTAGGGGAAAGCGAACCAATTGGGTTATGCACGAGTACCGTACTACCCTCGATGAGCTTGACGGCACCAAGCCCGGACAGGTTCCTTCTTTCTTTGTCTTACTTCTGTATTGTTTCGAATTCCAGTTTCTGTTTAGTTACCCTTGTTATTATGATCATGGAAAATAAGGTCAATTTTGTAATATCGCTAGTGGAAACTAGTTGACATCATGAACTCCTTTATGTGATTTATATTTTGGTACAAGATTAGTTATGCCAATCCGTTTGCATCAATTCCTGTTTTTAGTTTTGTTGATGGTTCATTTTTTTTTTTTACACAATAATAACTAGGGTTTATGTATATTATCGGTGGGGTAATTGTGATAATGTGTTGAATTAGTTGCTTGATTTACATGTATTGGTCATTTGATTATAGTTTTTTTTTTTTTTTTTTCCATATTCGTTGTTTTTCGTTTGTCCTTGTGCAGAACGCATTTGTGATTTGTCGTCTATTCAAGAAACAAGATGAGACCACTGAAGATATAAATGGTGAAGAAGTTGATCCCGATGTATCATCTCCTACAGAAGACTTGCAAGCTGAGTTAGAAGGGCCTCAAGACTCCCTAGCGGCGGAAGAGGAAGCTGAAAAAATTCCCAATAGCAGTGAAACTTATCCTGCGGGTTTACACGATGAAGTGATTTGTAACGCTGTTGCACCCATATTAGAGTGCGACAACAATGACTATGAGGCTTATGGTGTAATAGGTGAAGTGCTAGAAATAGCACCTGCAGAGGTGAGAAAATGAAACTGAATTTGAATTTAGGTTTTGCAATCATTGCTATAGCACTTATGTTGTTCAATTTCAGGTGGATCCACTTGTAGATGCTTTGAATCCTGTTTATAATCCCATGGTGGGGCCACTGGACTGCAAACTCTTTTCTCCATTGCATGCACAGATTGAGGCAGAGCAGGCACCTTGGATGTTTGATCATGTTGGGGACAGGTTCAGTGGGATGGAGTTTGAGCATGGTACAAATGAAAATGATGCCTATATTTCTGACTTCTGGGATTTTTTCTACTACTGTGATGACTCTGGAAGTCAGAAGAATTCAACTATTGAAAGTGAGACCCCTAAGGCCATGGCCTTTGGTAAGGATGGTGGTTCATGCAGTGAATCAGATGCTGAAGTGGCCCAAGTACTGGTGAGTAGAAGCCATCTAGTTACATATTGTTTATCCTATATTCTTACTAGTGTCTCATAGTGTTCTTATGACTTATGATCAGGCGTATGACACGCATAACTTCATATTTGCATCTTCAGGCATTAAGAACTCTTTTTTGTTAAGAATAACCTTTTTTTCTAAAAACAAGAATTTTCCTTTGGAACAGCTTGGGACAGAAACTGCCAACAAAGGGGCTTCTCTAGAGATTAAAGCAACTGCACAAGATTGCACAATTCCAATTTGCAAGCAGGATGTTAACTTTTCTGGCACAGGGGCATTCTACAATGTGCTAAATAGTAATGAAGAACTGAGCAATCATGTGAATACAACTTGTAATGTTGATAGAGCTATCACTGGGATCAGGATTAGATCTCGCTCTGCTCGAAGTCAAACAGATACTGAGAACTTTGTGACTCAGGGTAATGCGCCAAGAAGACTACGTCTGCAGTGTAAACTTCAAGTCCTCTCACTTTACCAAGGCAATGCAACAAATAACTGGAGTAGTGAAGAGAAAGAAGATTCAAAACCAGTTGTTACAAAGGTGAGAAGTTTGTAACTGATGATAGTATAAAACCACTGCCAATTCCAGATTTGTATTGGACCTTAATAAGTTGTCTTTGCAGGAGGTAAAGGTCATGGAAGAGGATATCACTATTGGTGGTGATGCTGCTTGTGGCACCATGGACGAACTTCAGGAAATATCCCTTTCCGAGTCAAGCAAAAACAATATTTCAAGGTCAAAGAGCATCATTTCAGTTGGTGAAGAGGTTCCAGCTCGATGGAAAAAGAAGTTTTCAGCTCGACGCTCGCACAAGCCTTTTTCTATTATATTTTGGGTAGCGGTGACATTAATCTTGTTTATAGTTTTGGTCAGCACATCGAATGCCTTTTTAATTTGATGCTCCTTGTTTCGTTGTGTATAGTTGACTTGTTTCATTTTGAGGCTCTCTGCTAATTAGGATTGCGGCCATGATTTAGAGGACTAACATGTATACGAGTAATATACGGAGCATCTATTTAGATAGATTAATATACAGAGCATCTGTCTTTGCAGTATATACTCTCTGGTTTTTGCGTTTTGCTACTCGAAAGCTCCGCCATTGGGCATGCCTACATTTTGAAGGTAGGAAGGCACTAACTGGAACTGAATCTTGGCATTGTACGTACGACAGTTTTTTTTTTTTCCTCATATGGGCATTGCTGTAAGGAGCATACCATTTAAAATAATTAAATTATAATTAATTAATCATAATTTAAAAATATGTAAAATTTATCAAAATTTTATTTATAGGAAGTTCACAGTTATCGGTGTTGGATCTCACGTAACTTTTTATTGGGATTAGATAAATATAAGATTGTAATACAAAAAATTATAGATGAAATACGTTAACTTATTTTATATTTTATTCATTATATATATTTTATTTTATCTTCTACGTTGTATCAATTTTTAGACCAAAAGTTTTACTTTTATTATAGATTAAAAAATTAAATAAAAATTATTGATCGTATTTATGGTATATCAAGCTAATTTCAATCCTATAAAAGAATTTATCCAAAAATAATTCTCTTATTGTGAAAGTGTGCATTTTGAATTACAATGCCGGATTGATATGTTCGCTAAATTGAAATAGCATGGATTTAAGGTTATGATAGATTGAATAATTATAGATTATTAAAATTAATTTATAAAACTTATTTATTTGTGTGATTATTAATAAATAATAGCGATTGGATGAGCGAGGCTCGAACGCCTAACCTCAGGAACGTAAACTACAACACTCATGTGTTAGCCAACTGCGCCGCCATCCCTTCTATGCATTTCTGGCCAAATTAACATAAGGTTGTTTCAATTGACGTCCTTCCCTCAAACGCGGTAGCAAGATTCGTTTTCCTGTTAGAAACTGTTTGAAGAAAGCCAATCGATAACTCATATGGGTCAAACAACTTTCGTCTCTGTGCTTTTGTTCCTTCCTTACCTCTCGGCTATACACGGCAGACGTTACCAAGATTACACAGATCAACTCTTAAGTTCCGCCCAGCAAGACAAAGATTGGTTGGTTTCCATCAGGAGGCAAATCCATGAAAACCCGGAACTCCGCTTCCAAGAACATAACACGAGTGCTCTTATCCGCAAACAACTCGATCAACTTGGCATCCCTTATTCATACCCGGTTGCCAAGACCGGTATAGTTGCCCAAATTGGCTCTGGTTCTAAACCCGTAGTTGCTCTTCGGGCTGACATGGACGCTCTTCCAATTCAGGTGATCCTACTAGAAGGAACCCTGTTCTTCTTTTTACTACATTCAGGTGATCATCACAAATTTATTGTTTTTTTGCCTTGATGCTTTCTGTAGGAGCTTGTGGAATGGGAGCATAAGAGCAAAATAGATGGCAAAATGCACGCATGTGGGCACGATGCTCACACTACCATGCTCCTTGGTGCTGCCAAGTTGCTTAGTCAACGCAAAAATAGCCTTAAGGTTAGCTTTGATTTGCAATCTTTATAACTGGTAATCTCTACTGGATTGATGTGTAGTTGAATTAGTTTATCTTTTTTCATGATTGAAAAGGAGAGTTTTGTTTTATAGATAAGCTCATTATGTTTATTTTCAGGAATATTTGACCATTCATTGAAGTTAGGTTTGGATATCCTTCACAAGCATCACATCTAGCTTAATGATACTTGTCTAGATTCCTGATTTACCTTTTAGACTAGAGGCCACGGAGGATAAAAAGAATTAGTTTACTTTTTGTCTGTTTACAAAAGTTTTTCTAGTATAAGTTCCTTTTATTAAAGTTTTCAAACTCACTCAATTGAATGATTTCCCCTTTATATGTCAATGAAGGGAACTGTCAGACTACTTTTCCAACCCGCAGAGGAGGGAGGTGCTGGTGCAGCTCAAATGATAAGGGAAGGAGCTCTCGGTGATTCTGAAGCAATATTTGGAATGCATATTGATTGCCAAACCCCCACAGGAAGCATAGCATTGGTTCCAGGGCCACTTTTGGCTGCTGTAAGCTTCTTTGAAGCCAAAATAGAAGGAGTTGGTGGGCATGCTGCAGAGCCCCATTATACTGCAGATACAATACTTGCTGCATCCTTTGCAATTTTGGCATTGCAACAACTGATCTCTAGAGAAGCTGATCCACTCCATAGCCTAGTATGGTCCTATTTTCTTATCTAGATGTTCATGTAATCTTCTGCTTTCAGTCTTCCTAGAAATGCATGAAATTTTGTGGACCTTGTTGCTTGATAATTTTGAAAGTATCTAGATACAAACTCCTTTGACTCACTCAGTGTAAAGCCTTAGACATGATTTATAATTATATGTGAGAGTTCTACCACCTCGACACTCATAATATTGCTGTTTAAGTGCTTCATTCCTTGAAAATCAATTTGCTGAGTAAGAAGAGTACTGCCAAAAAGCAGTGGCAAAGTGTGTTTCTCATTTGTGGTAAGTTGTAGAGGAATGTTTCATGCCTATTCTTTGACAAAATTGACATCTATCTGTTGTTTGGATATTTCACAAATTATGCATATATAGTGACTTATGTAAATTAGGCAGCCAATGCAACCTAATGCTGATGCTTTAACCTTTGCTGTAAGGTGTTGTCTGTTACTTATATCAGAGGTGGGTCTGCATTCAATGTAATTCCATCATATGTTGAATTTGGGGGTACTCTAAGGAGTCTCTCCACGGAAGGCTTACATAAACTTCAACAGAGGTTGAAAGAGGTATACGGCATTACTCAGCCTTTTTAATTTTGGTTCTGGTAAACGATATCATAGTGAATCATAATTTTCTAACAAACCGGTTAAGAAAAATCCTCACATGTCCACTGTCCTTAAGTTTTCCTGCCCTTTGCAACATTTTACTAACTTATCACATCTCTTTTATTCTTATTGTAGAGTAGATGATTTGTCCAAACCCTTAGGTTTTTTTTTAGATAAGCTAAATTTTCGTTATCCAAAGAAGCATGAGATAGCCTGCTCTAGAGTTTACAACCTGCAGATTACAGGAAACAACCCTTCAATTTTATCCTCTTCCTGCTCTTTTACTCAAATATTTCATGCATCAGTTTATTATTATTATTATTGAGGAAAATTCCGTGTTTGTTTGTTCTCCATTTTCTCTTGTTTTTTTCCTTGTTGTGATGCTATCCCCTCGACAACATATCTGAAATAGGGGGTAAAATTCCTTGTTCCCAGTCTATTGTTTTTTTGTCTTTGAAGAGTACTCTCTCTTGACATGTTGTATCAGTGTTCTGGGAATTATTATATGTAGTTTGGCGCTTTGTTGATAGCATACGTTTCCATTATCATTTCCACTGCTTCAAGTTATTGGCCGACTGCCAATCCATTTGTTTTTATGAACTAGTGAAAGATATTAGATTGTTTGCAAGCTTAGTCCTGCTTATATAATTGTGACTTCTTGTAGGTCATAAAAGGCCAAGCAGCCGTACACAGATGTAATGCTTATATAGACATGAAAGAAGAAGATTACCCTTCCTATCCTGCTGTTGTTAATGATGATAACTTGCATCAACATGTTCACAAGGTTGGTGGGCTTTTGCTTGGTCCTGAGAATGTCAAGAGGGGCAACAAAGTTATGGCAGGGGAGGACTTTGCCTTCTATCAAGAAGTAATCCCTGGATACATGCTAAGCATTGGAATTAGAAATGAGGAAGTTGGCTCTATTCATTCACCTCACTCCCCTTACTTCTGCATTGATGAGAATGTCCTTCCAATTGGGGCAGCTTTACACACTGCCCTGGCAGAAATATACCTGAAGGAGCGGAACGATTCTATTGCACATTATATTTGAAGGATTTCTATAACAAGAAAAATTACATTTTGCTGATGTATTCAACTTGTCTGTATTATGAAATCAAGGGAAGTGATCCTAAACCATTTGTGCTTATGTGCAGTAGCACACTTCCAAATAGATGGTGCACTTTGTTCTAAAAAGAAACTAGTACATTTGCAAAAGAAAATGAGGTGTTCATTAATCATAAGCGTAATAGTTTGCTACAAAAATGTCTGGTGTAAGGAGGAGACAGTTCTTCCCAATTCAGACTGCATTTTGCTTGGATAAAAGAGCAGCAGCTATTTGGAAGGTGCAGATTGTATTTGTAAAGGCTTTTTTCTATGGCAGTTAGAAAAGTTGCGACTAAAAATAGTCGAGTTTGGAAAGAGTTAAACACCAATAACAAAAAGGTATGAATACGACTTTGGGATCACTCTTTAAGCTAAGAGGTTTGAGGTCCCACCAACTTCGCCAGCACCCATGTGCAACAGTTCAATGTGGTAAATGAAAAACATAATATGGCTTTCCTCCGCTGAAATCGGTAAATTTGGATGCAAAAACTCTTTTGCTGTTGCTATTTTATTAAGCCATTTCATCTCTGCTGGGCTGGATTCTGCAATTTAATGAATCTCTTGCCAAAGTCTAGCTGCAACTTTCCATGGCTGCCACCACTACTCTGATCGCCCAGGTTTTGCTCGTTGTGCTATTCTTCCTTGCTTACCTCTCTGCTGTACATGGCAGACTTGATCAAGATTACAAAGATCAACTCCTAAGCTCAGCCCAGCAGGACAAAGATTGGTTGGTTTCTGTCAGGAGGCAAATCCATGAAAATCCCGAACTCCGCTTCCAAGAGCACGATACTTGTGCTCTTATCCGCCAACAACTCGAGCAATTTGGCATCCCTTATTCATACCCATTTGCCAAGACAGGTATTGTAGCTCAAATTGGCTCCGGTACTAAGCCTGTCGTTGCTCTTCGTGCTGATATGGATGCTCTCCCGATTCAGGTGATCCTAATATTAATAACCCTTTCTTCTTTTTCTGTATTCCTACTATCTTACGTATGCAGGTGATCATCGCACTGTTGCTGTTTTGTTAGCCTTAACTGTTTCCAATGGCTCTGCTTTTATAGGAGCTTGTGGAATGGGAGCATAAGAGCAAAATAGATGGCAAAATGCACGCGTGCGGGCACGATGCTCATACTACCATGCTTCTTGGTGCTGCCAAGTTGCTTAATGAACGCAAAGATAGGCTTAAGGTTAGCTTTGATTTGGAATCTTCGTAACTGTCTAGAAATATTCTCGACTGATTGGATGTAGTTGACTTAGCTATGTCTTCTCATGATTACGAAGGAAAGCCTTGTTTGAAATCTGATCAGCAAACTGATCTTGAGTTTATGAATTAGAATAAAAAAAGAGAAGAAGAAATCTGTACCAATAGTTGCACCCAATGTTATGTTACATACCCTTGGAGAAGAGAAATTACTTACCATTTACCATCATGGAAGAATGGAGCACTTATTAAAGTTAGGTTTTGAATGATTAATGATACTTGGCCAGGTTTAGGAATCACCTCTGGCTAGAGGTAAGGCAGGGTAAAAGTAAGTTGTTTGTTTCTCCTGATCTGCGAAAAGGAAATTCTGATCCATTTGCTAAAAGTGGCAAATACTAGACTTATTCTTTATTAGTTATTACAAACTCGTCTTCCTGTATCTTTTACAGTTTCTTCTTGCTTGTATAATCTTGTACAAGTTTCATTTTAATACAATGCCGTATTATACAGTTCCCATTTGATAAATATGGTGTAGTTAGAGACTTACAAGAGAAAAAGGGCTATCAGTAGCCAATTTTCTTACAACATCATATTAAAGTAGTTGACTTGATTCCTTATATTGATTCTCATCCCTTTCAATGAAAACACATGTACATACATATACATATATGACCTATAAAAGCATGTGTGTACAGGTAAACTCTATAATCTATATGTATTTATTTGAAGAAATGGTTCATCTTAAATGCTGCAGGACTGCTAATGAAGAATTCATCTAAAAAAATTGAACGGACAGTTTGTTATAAGAATCATGTTCACGCTTTGCACATTTGTCTATGTTTAACATTTCAATTGATTGGCTTATGTCATTATTACTGGTTAAAGTTCACATTTTTCAAACTTATTCAATGTCAACTTTTCCTCTATATGCCACTGAAGGGAACTGTCCGACTACTTTTCCAACCTGCAGAGGAGGGGGGTGCTGGTGCATTTCACATGATAAAGGACGGAGCTTTAGGTGATGCTGAAGCAATATTTGGAATGCATGTTGATGATGAAAAACCCACAGGAAGCATAGCATTGGTTCCAGGGCCACTCTCAGCTGCTACATGCATCTTTGAAGCCAAAATAGAAGGAGTTGGTGGGCATGCTACAGTGCCTCATTCTACTGTAGATCCAATACTAGCTGCATCCTTTGCAATTTTAGCATTGCAACAGCTAACCTCTAGAGAAGCTGATCCTCTCCACAGTCAAGTAAGTTCCCATTTTCTTATCTAGATATCCATTGTCAACTTTGTTCGTGACTTATTGTAACTTAAAGAGGAATGTTCCATGCCTATTCTTTGATAAATTTGACATCTATCATTTATTGATATACACAAACAATGGTTATGTAGTGGCTAAAGTACACAGTGCGTCCAATGGAACCTAATGCTCATGCTTTTTTTTTTTTTTTTTTTTTTTTCTGTAAGGTGTTGTCTGTTACTTTTATCAGAGGTGGATCTGCCTTCAACGTGATTCCACCATATGTGGAATTTGGGGGCACTTTGAGGAGTCTCACCACCGAAGGCTTGCATAATCTCCGACAGAGGTTGAAAGAGGTATCCAGCGTTATTGCATGTAAATTTTGTTCTCTCCATAGAATGTACAGATTCTTGTAATTACCCTTTTTGGTTTATCTTCTTTTCTTCCTTCCTTGCTAAGACGCTATTCTCGTAAACAAAATACCTTAAATTGAGAGTACAAATTCCTTGTTCCTCTTTTTCAAGTCAATTATTTCTTGTCTGCTAAGATTACTCCCTATTGGCCTTCTGTATTGGTGCGATTGGTGCTCTGGGAATTATTATATGTTGTTTGCAAGTTGATAGATTAGTTTTCCACTATCATCTCTGCTTAGATTATATTATATTCAACTTAATTTTTAAGATCTTGGCTTCTTGCTAATTGCAATTGATTTGTTCTTAGAACCGAGTGAAAGATATTTTTTTCTGTTTCACCTTAGGCAGGATTATGTAGTCGTAACTTGTTGTAGGTCATAAAAGGACAAGCAGCCGTACACAAATGTGATGCTTCTATAGACATGAAAGAAGATTACCTGCCCTATCCTGCTGTTGTAAATGATGATAGCTTGCATCAACATGTTCAGAAGGTTGGCCGCCTTTTGCTTGGTCCTGAGAATGTCAAGAGAGGCAACAAGGCTATGGTAGGAGAGGACTTTGCCTTTTATCAAGAAATAATCCCTGGATTTATGCTAAGCATTGGAATTAGAAATGAGGAAGTCGGCTCAATTCATCCACCACACTCCCCTTACTTCCGTATCGACGAGGATATCCTTCCAATTGGGGCAGCCTTAAATACTGCTCTGGCAGAACTATACCTGAAAGAGCACGAACATTCTATTTTACATCAAACATTTTAAGGGCTTCAAAAGTATTGATAAATTCCTTTATGCTGATAGATTGAACTTGTCCATATATGCAGTCAAAGGAAGTCCAACTTTCCATTTGTATACTTTTCTTTGCGGTAGCACATTTTGAATAGCTACTGCATTTGCAAAAGTTTCTCTTTGAAGTCCTTTCCATTCAGCATAGACAATGAATAGGATTATGTACTTGATAGTAACTTGTTAGAGATTAATGTTTGGGAAATGGGTAGCCGCTTCATTTTCTGTTTTAGCACCTGCTCCCTACAACTCCCTATGCCCCAACCCTCGAATGAATCCATTTACTGGATTACAGTAACAATCGTCTGGTATGTACAAAATGCAGCTGATTAAACACAATTTTTTTTACTGTATTAGTTGATTGCAGTCAACCAGGCAGCTTGTAAGAAAATCACTACTAGGAGAGTGTGACTGTGTTGTGGAAAAGGCTACATCAGGGGCCACAGATTATCCCACTTTCGCGTTTGCTTGGTTTGGTCTGTTGCACTCTTTAGACTCTCACAACCACCTAAAATGCATCCCCTCCTCCACTTCTGCCTTTTTCATTTCCCTTGGCCAAAGTAGGTATTTTCTGGTCAAATCTTTAACGACAATAACTAACGCATCACATGGATCATGAGAGGAAAAGGCTTCCTTTGAACAATCATGGTAGGTTTCTTCTTGTTTTAACTGTCTATTCCTCTGAACAAACAGATATGTTTTAACTCATAACTCAGATGAGTCCAAGCTCAACTTGTTTGACATACTACCTAGTAGATTTAAAATTCTTATATTTATATTATATTTTATATAAAATTATATGTAATAATTTAAGTTTATATGAAAAATACAGAATTTTTTTTTGTTTTAATTAAAACTCGTATATGATTTTTATTATAATTTTAAATCATATCACTTTTATATTTATTTATATTTTTTCATATTCTATCATCATATCAAGTGTCTTATGTCTTAATAAAGATGTATATGTCTTTCATCATTATATGTTTTGTTGTTCATAATCCTAACTAATTGGCTGGCCATTGAAGGAAGTTGCATGTGCCTTCAGACATTGTCAATTTATTCGGTTTCATATATGGCTTCATATATACAACCAAATATATATATATATATATATATATTTAAAGCTTGAAGATTTGAGAATCATATAACCTTTCTTTGTTTTATAACTTTCTCACATGTAACAAAAAATATTTTTCATTTTCTCGTTTCTTTTTCCTATATTTTTCAAAGTGCTAATCACACCACTAATTGTCCCATTCTTTTCTTTTCTTTTTTAAATTAATCAAATTGCTACTTAAGAAAAATTCTTTTAAAATTAAAATTTTGTTCATGCAATTAAGCTTTTAAGAGTTAACATTTGTAAATTTAAAATTCCAATTTCATTACCAACAACCATTTCTTTTATTTTCAGATTGTAATTTTTTTTTTTTTAAAAAATTAAACCCTTAGTATCACCTGTAGGTGCAAGGCATCTTTAGATGATGATGATGATGATGATGATGATGATGGTTTACTTAGAAAAAATGTGCTCATGCAATCATGAAGATATAGTATTACAAGTTTACAACAATGGATTTGGAAAAGAAAGTCATGGGTTGTTGAGAATGATTGCTTTATTAATCAATCTTCCAGATTCTAGTAACCGCCCATCATAACATGGACAACAAACACCACCTTAATCAACATATCCCTTAAAAGTTAGAATGATTCTCAAATAGTTTTTCTTTCCTTCATTTTTCTTTTTGTATTTGAAAAGGCAAAAAAGAATTTGAAATGGGGTGTCAACGACAAATCTCAAGGACTTGCCTTCTAATTAGCTAAACAATTATTTTCTTTGTTATTTTCCTCCTACATTGCATTAGTTACAAGATATGTTGCTTGGTGTAATGGGTACAGGGTTAGATTAATTCAGGAATTTCACTTGATTTTTGCTGTCCCAAGATTGCTGGGTCATTCCCCCGTGGAACTACAAAGGTAAATTGGGCCTTCACTTTTTACATTGGTGAAAAATCTATCCGCCCTTTGGGTCCAAAGTAGTTTTGTTCTCTATCAAATTCAGAAGCCCAAACTAATACGACATGGGTAGGAAGTAGGCTATTGAATCTCCTTCAAGGAGCTCATCTTTTTTGTGGTTTGGTTTCTGAATTGATGGATGGAGAAATATATACACCAGATCAATCACCGCTTTGTATGTAAAGTTTGGTAAGTTGGAGAAATTACATATATATATTTATGTATATAGGAGGAGAAAATATTTTGTTCTTTGGGGCTGCTTTGAAGCAAAGAAGAAAATGGCAAAGAGCCTTTTGAAAACCTAAAAAGGAAGAAAAGGAAAGAAATTGAACCAAAAAAAAAAGGCAAAAAAAAGGAAGATGAAGCTTGGTAATTTCAAGGGCAGCATCCCATGTGATATCAACTTAGATCTTTACACGCAAAAACTTGATACATTTTTCGGATCCCCACATTTCATCCATCCTAACTTTATCCTTTGTTTTTCTCCAAAATGGTAAGTAAAACTATAAAACCCTGTGTCACTCAATTTACATATATATATATATATATATATATTCACGTTTCAACACCTTCGTCCACTCTATCAGACAAAGCTTAAGGCTAAAATGGTGAATAGTTTTCATGTTGATCCAACTGAAAACTAACAGTTAATTACTAGCTAGCGACTTCCATGAGCAGCAGGATATGGATCATCCAACAACTAATGCTAGCTCATAACATTCCAAATAGTCAAAAATATGATCACTATAAAATCTACCTCCATTTTTCCTTAGTAGGTGGAAGACAAGAGAAACTCATATTTCTGGCTTCATTATGAAGGCAAGTTAAGTTCGGAGGACTTTTCCAAAAAAAAAAAAAATTCGGAGGACATAATGTTCAATATCATTCAGTGTACATGTTTTAGAGTTTATTTCACATGAGGTTATAGAGTTTCATTTAATTGCAATTTTTGTCAAATGTGATCGCAAAATTGGAATTTGTGATAATAAAAAAAAATTCTCGATTACAATTAAATTTATTCTCAATGCAAATCATGTTTTTACTTATTTGACCGAACAATTTGCCCTTAATTACGATTTTAATTTAAAATTTATTAAAAATTAAAAATTCATTTAATTACAATCATAGATGATACAAACCACTACTTCGCCGTATAGTTTCCCCATCAACGGTATAAAACTTCCACTCTAGTTAATGTTTAATTTAGTGTTCAAATTAAAAACAACTGATTTTAATCATTCATGGTTTCATCCCGTGGATAAAACCCCAAACTATCATTCAACCATAACCCTAATGCCAAAACAATCACACAACTGAGATGTGCAGACGTGACAAACAGAAAAAGGTTTAGACTGCTTATGATGTAAGTGATTGGCTGTACTGTATTATACCCCAAAATCCACCCTCATAAATCTGAATATCAGGTTGTCCAAGTAAGATTTAACACGTCTGACAAATCACCGCCTTAGGAAATCCAAAAATCCACCCCAAGTCGGATGATGATGGAAGTATTACCATTGTCAATTCGGTTCTCCTTTCACATATCTCCTTTAGCCCCCACTTCACCACCAGCCACCCCAACGACTTCCAATTGAGCTCCCCCAGTCTTCTCTATAAATCGGTCAACTCTGCTCCACTGGTTTCCACCCCCCTTTTTTTTTTCTCTACCTCATCAGCCTTGGAGATTGGAAAGATTTCCCAAAGATATATTAAACTAAGAGGTTCTTTGTACAGTAAGTGTCACTGCATGTGCTGTTTGGCAGGAACAAGCACCACTAGAGGCTCAACCAGAGGAGAAAACAGAAGAGAAACCACCAGAAGACAAGAAGGAATTGCCACCTCCTCCTTTTGTCTTGTTTCCGGACATGCATTGTGCGGGATGTGCAAAGAAGATTGAGAAATCCATCATGAAAATTAGAGGTAATTATTTGTCCATATTAATTCCCATGGTATTTCTCTCTGTCTCTCAATTAATTGGTATTAATCCAATTTTGTAACAATTAATTTATATATTTAAATGATTGGTCGACGCTATCAGGTCTGGAAGGAGTTGCGATTGATATGTATCGAAACCAAGTGACCATAAAGGGAATAATTCAACCCCAAGCAATATGTGCTAAATTCATGAAGTAAACAAAGAGAAGAGCTAAAGTCCTGTCTCCCTCGCCCGCAGCTGAGGGTGAACCTGTGCCAGAAGTTGTCACTTCACAGGTCTCATTAATCACCTTATAATTTCACATTTTCACCCAAGAGCAAACGAAATACTTAATAATTAAAAAAAAAGCAATGGCTTCATAGAAGTATTAATCATTAATGGAATTAATGTTTGGGTAATTATTCCAGGTTAATGGATTAACAAAGGTGGAGCTTAACGTAGACATGCATTGCCAAGCCTGTGCTGAGCAAGTCATGAGAAAGATGCTAAAAATGAGAGATTGGTTAAGCTGTGGCATGTATTTGGTTAGAATTATTAAAATTATCGTCCAATGAAATCTTAGTTTGGTTAACGTTTATGCCAATTTAAGAACAGTGCCCATTGGGTAACGTAATAATTTTAATTTATCCACTGAATCTGTAGAACAACAGCAGGCCACTTAGCCAGCAAGAAGCAAAATGATAATTCTGAGTGATTGACCAACTGCATGCATGAGAAACTAAAAACAGTAAAAATAAAGCAGACAACGAAAAGGAATCCAATATAGAAGGACAATGGCAGTGGGACTTTCTGACGTGGCAAGCAATTATTTTACATTTTTTTAACAAAAGAAGTTATAATTTAATAACAAAAATTATTACAAGATGCTAAAATTTAAATTTTATATTTATAAAATATTACCTTTTAAAAATAATTAATTATATAAGCCATTTCATTATGAATTATATTTTACATGCTTTTGGACATTAATTTGTATTAGTCTAATTCTATCAAAAAATTTGTAGTAGTCTAATCAGTTATATTTATTGTTATTGTTAATTTAATTAAGATGATATTTAAACACTAGATTTCAATAATTGAGGCATAATTTATTATTTAAAGAATAAAGTTCGAATCATTTTTCCCAATTCAAAATTGGGGATGTGGTATTTTGCAAAGGGCAATGGATAAAAAATCTTCTAGTACTACTATATATTGGTACTTTCATAGGAATTCTTTTGGGGATAATTTTATTGATTTTGATGTTTATTACTATATATCTTGTTACAGCCGTACGAAGTGCGGTAACCGAGCATAGCACAGGGAAAGTTACAGTCACGGGTATCATGGATGCAAACAAGCTAGTGGATTACGTGTATAGACGGACCAAAAAGCAAGCCAGGATGTGAGCCTCAACCTGAACCCGACAAAGAAGAGAAAAAAGAAGGGGAAGAGAAGCCAGCGGAAGAGGCAAAACCTGAATTAGAAAACGCGGAGAAAAAACCACCCGAAGAAGCTAAGAAAGAGGAAAGTAACAACGAAGCAGCTGAAAACAAAGAAGGCAAAGAAGAGGAGAAGAAAGGAGCAGAAGAGAACAGTAGCAATAACAATGAGGAGGAATCGATGAAGAGGATGATCTACTACTGCCACAGCTGCCCCTGTACGTTATCGAGCGAATGCCTCATCCTCCTCATCTCTTCAGCGATGAAAACCCCAACGCTTGCTGCATTTCCTAGTCATGATCATA